AAGTTCTTACCACTCTCGTGGCGTAGAGTACAATAATTTAGGGGACTAGGCTGATCTCTCATGCGACAGGATCCTAAATTATTGCCAAGACGAGTGAGCTTACGGACCCTTAATCGCTACGAATCTCTTAGCGAACGATTAAGTGTGTGTGAATGTGTCCTAGAATAAACTAGATCTCTCTTAATTTATTCTACAAGCAATTGTAATTCTAGCGACCGTTCTAGGTTACAAAAGATATCAGTTAAATTATTTAAACACAAATTAAACGACATTCATGCAATTGAACCAACAAGAATCTAGCCATACATCATGATCAACCCCTTCATCAACCCCAAATCCCTAATTAAACTACTCACAATTCATAATTGAAGAATCAACGGAATTGGGAAGAATATAATTAATTGTCATTAATTAAAAAGATGAACTTACAAATAATCCCAGGGTCTTGGAGTAAACAATAGTAAAAACGTAGATCAAATCGTCCCCAGGCCTCTTCGTAATGTTTGCAACACTTAAATAGGAGAAGAGATGCCTTATTTATAGAAAACAGATGAGTTTGGGTTGAATTAGGACTGAAACGGGGTCAGGCACGGCGTGCCGAGGTGCCAGGCACGACCGTGCCTGCGGAGCAAAGCCGAAATCCGCGTTTCGGGTCCAGGCACGGCGTGCCTAAGAGCCAGGCACGACCGTGCCTGGCATTCCAGCAGCCCGGTACATGAATACACTGCAAGCACGGCGTGCCTCCCTGGGCACAACCGTGTCTTCCCTTCCGAATGGAAGTCCTCTATCTACCACAACTTGCCGAATGGAATTTGAATCATCCAATCAAAAGATATGATTAAATTGGTGGAAGATCTCATTCTGAAATCGCAACAACGATCATTTGACTTCATTGTCAGTTTTCACCTTTCTCCTCTCAGATTCTCGAAATGGTGTCTTCATATGATTTGTATCCCATGAAGTTGGCTTTCATATTCAACTTGAATCGTGTCCATTGGATGTTTCTACAAAGAGATATGCTTGAACAATTGACAGAAGGTCATCTTCTTTTGATCTCATAACCAATCCTAGAGCTCTTTTGTCATGAAATCTTCATTGTGAACCTCCCAGTGACCTCCAAAGCTCTCAAATCACTCTCGAATGCTTCTCAACTCATCCCGATTTCTTCTCAAGCGCTGGTGCTGAACTCTAAAATCCTGATTTTGACTCCAAATGACACAAAACTCGAACCAACGCCTGGTAAACATAACTTGAGCTGAAATTGAGAATTGGAACACCTTAAAGCTAGAAAAACCATCAAAAGCCGGTCCCAACACGCATCAAATGCGTGTCTAAATACAGATTTATCAGTTTTCTCTCAGCAGTTTCGGAATTGAAAAATTATATACAACCGACGCCGGTTCTAAGGATAGACCGGCGCCGGTTACCCCCTGGCAGTGTAAGTTGACTTTTTTGCTCCATTTGACACCCGTAGTTAACCCCAAAGTGCCGGTTCTTAGTCTCCTTTGTCAGTTGACTCCCGTTTCTTCAACCTTGAATACCTTTGCATGAAATTGCTCAAGTTGGGATTTTATCATATTTCTTCTTTGAATCTTTGTGCAAATAGTCATAATTACCTATATAAAATATAGGTAACTATCGTGCTTATCACTGGACGAATCTAATATTCTGGCTTTCAATTGTATTCTCCGATTGGCAACAATCTTTGATAATGGCAACGTTCTATGAGCACTAATGTAACACTTGAGATTTAATATAAACGGATTAATAGTACTACTCATACCAACAGAGGTGCATCTCCTTTTAAGGTAGCTCATCACCTAAGAACTCCAAAGTTAAGTGTGTTGGCACGGGAGTAGTCTTGGGATGGGTGACCCCCTGGGAAGTTTCTCAGGGCGCGCATGAGTGAGGACAAAGTGCACGGTAAAGGCTCGTGGTGGTTTGTGAGGATAGTACTAGAGGTCCGGAGTAAATACCTCGGGTCCTGCGGGGCCAGGGTGTTACAACTAACGAATTAAAGATGTTCCTATGTTGTTGCTCTTTTTTTATTTCTACCTTCTAGAGGTTTGGTTTTGGTCTGACTTCTTGTATGGTCAAAAGTTATGCCCGCTTCAGGTGAGCGTGAGTTTTGTTCTTTTCCTATCAAGTGTCGTCCCCTTCCTCTCCCCCCCCCAATTTTTTGCTTTCCTATTCTTTTCTCCCGGTCAACACACCCTCTAAATTTGAAATCCTCCACCACCTTTCCCACTTTTAATCCCTCACTACACCAAATTAGTAGTTCAAAATCTCCAAATTAAACATTTTAGACTCTTAATCCCTACCACTACAAACGATCTTATAGACAAGGTTAAGATATGCTCTATGTTATTATAGACCATAATTGACTCAATTGAACATGTTTTCAAAGTTCGGGGATTTGATTGATGTTTTTTTAAAGTATAAGAACCTAATTGATTATTTCGTGATAGTACGAGAACCAAATTGACAATTTTTCCTATATAAATAAACACATTATCTAAAGTGGTCCATTTGTAATTAAGTTTGGCATTGTGCATAATTGTCATGAAGTATGATATGTAGATATCAAAAGTATTATTTCTATTTTATGATGGGCAAAACTATGACTAATAATAATAATAAGGAATTGACATTTTTCTTCATGAAAGGGTATTAGGAAAAAGTAGCATGACTCTTTATGAAAGAACATGTATCTCTAATAAATAATGGGGTATGGTCCCCAGCTGATTGTGAGGTTATCGTGTCTAGTGGGAGTCTCGAGTTCGAAACCCGCTAGACACATAAGGGTTCGAAACTCACCGGAGTGATTTTCAGCTGTGATTACTCCAGGCCCCCAGCCCCCTCCCCCAGACCTCCCTCGAGTACAAAAAAGGGGTATGGTCCCCAATTCTAGACAACACAACACACATCACTACATTCATTTCATCCCATCAGAAGAGATACTTAGGCAGTTAGGCTAAGGTAAAAATCCACAATTGGAATATCCGTACTGTAGTATTTATTTCCGATTTAAGTTCCTTTTGATGACTTTATATGGATTTATTTTCTGTTATGTATAAACGCAAATATTACGATCTAATAGGTGGTGCTTCATAAATTGATATCCATCTTCTCTTTTATCAATTGTTATCGAGTCGATCGTAGAGGGTGACATACCATACTCAAGATGGTAAAATTCAAACTGTGCTAATAAGTTAAGAAAGACTAGAGTAGAAATTGGAGTATCTTTGTTCCTCTATTTTATTGATAGTTGGTTAGTAATTCCCAATCCCTCTTTATACATTAAAAATATATGTAACATGTTCCTTATTCCTTAAGGAGCACATTAACAAATTTTTTGACAAAGTTATTTCTTTAGAAGTAATTTTATCATTAGAAATTGCTCAATATAGGACTAAAATATACATAAATTCAAAAAGAGGACTATGTATGTTTTATTCCCAAATAGGACTTATTTAGTCTTATTAAAAGAATAAATAATTCCAAACATATAACCAAAATAAAAGTAGTGGACATGTGACCCTGATAACTTCACAATGTATTCAAAAAGTGACCATAATTGTATTCAAATGTTACATCATAGTGACTATAAAACTTACACATAGTAACTTATAGTCGCATTTTTACCCATATATTTTTATTAGTAATATTTTAGAAAAAAACTTTAATAACATATTACATCTTCCTAAACTTGGTGTGAATGGGGTCTTCTTTTGGGAATAAAACAATGATAGTTCTACTTATGAACTCTATCTTGTTTTAGCTCTACTTAGGGAATATTTCTCATCATCCATTTTAGATGTAATTGCATCTTATTCAACTTACTCTACTCTTTAAATTATATTTAGTCCTTGAGATGCACGGTCTTCTTTTTATGGTTTTCATTCTTTCTTTTAACTCCAATCTTTCACTTCATGTCTTTCAAAGAAAATGTAACGAATACAAAAGTAACTTACATATCTCGAAATTGATGCATGTTAAATTCGATTCCTTAGCAAATTATATTATTTTTAATTATAAAAATAATTTATGTTAAAATTAATAATAGTTGTGGCATTATGTTGTATTGTTGTATGTTAAACTAGTTATATAACACGACATAAGATACTTGACATAGATTAAATCTAATTGAATGCAAAATGTGTACTTAGACATTTTTATGTAACACATATTCATCGTGTGATGCTCATATGTTCAATTTTTAATATTCAAAATTTGTGTGTTGCATATTGATATATCTGTATAATGTACTATTCAACTTCCCCATGTAGACTTACCCTATTAAATAATAATAGTTTTAATATGTTTATTCAATTTTACGTGTGTTGCATTGATACTTAACCCACATATGCCAAACCTCATGGTCTATACATTGTCCAAGCCCTCCTATTTATATCACTCCCCGTTGAAATTACAATTGGAAAGTGCTCGTGATTTGCGAGTATAATGCACTTTTAAAATTGATGAGATGTGGAAATTAATATTGTAGGAAGGAAAAGTATTAACTTTTCCCTTTAATTAAAAGGATTTTTCATCAATATATAATAAAAAACAAAGATAACATCTATATAATAAAAAAGGTAACATCCTCCAAACGCAAGAGAGCACATGTATATAAAGAATATATGGCTTAAAGTAAAACACAAATTTAGTTTATGTAGGAACTAACTTGGCGAACCCCTTACTACAATGGAGTGAAATTATGAGGACTCAAAAAATGATTACATCTTTGTGGATGATGGTAATGGCACCCGCTTCCGGTACTCTGCTAAAGCCCATATAGGATAGATGTTCCTATATGCTGCGTAATGCAACATGCAGTTTTTCATAAAAACTCCTGTAATTTCCTGCAGTAAAATGAAGAATATAAATTCATATTGTATCTACGACATCTTAACCTTTCTTGATATTAGATACCATGATTGAGGGTAAGTGGTGAACTGATGATTTTCGAGGTTACCTGCTGAGGAAAGTCACCATTTTGCATCTGAGAGTTTATTATAAGCTTTGCTGCAGCATGGAGCGGTCTCAGATCTCTATTCGACTATCACAATGCAAAGAGTAGATAATTAAATGATGTAAAATGCTTTTTTAATAGTTATAGTTACATATAAGTATTTTACCTAAGGATGGCAATGGGGGCGGGGACCCGTGGGGAACCGCCCCGTGGGGGAAGGATGGGGTGGGGCTTGGGGTGAGGCGAGGGCGGGGATGGGTGAAATATTTTTACGCCGTTAAAATATGGGGCGGGGGACGGGTATTGCTACACCCGCCCTGTCCCCGTTATAAATATATATTCAAACATATACACACACACACACACACATACACACATATATAAATAATGTACACACATGTTAAATTAAATTATTTGTAGTATATAACAAAAACATATACATATAGACATACATAATTGTATACGGTTTAATCATGGTTAATGAATTAATATATATTATACTAGAATAATAATAATGAGTTAGTGATGATTAAAAATATTTATCATAAATGTTACTTCGTATATGAGTTTTAAGAGTGGGAAAGTGAGTAAATAAATACACACACATTAATATGTAATATAATAGGTAGTATGTAATTAATTGTATTGTAATTGTTGAGAATTTTGAAACAACGTACATGATGATAATATGTTTACTTATATTTTTACTTTAATTGTCTTCAATTCACAAAACTTATTCAAATGGAAGAATTATTAAAATTGGTGGTATTAACTTTTAACAAACACAATACTTCAGTGTGTGTGTGTGTGTGTGTGTGTGTGTGTGTGTGTGTGTGTAAGTGTATCATATATCATTGTGTGCGCGTAGATATATATAGGTTTATGATCAAATGAGAACAACATTTAACATGTGAACGTGCGAACACTACATTTACCCTCAATGTGAAGCACAATGGGCTCGCACAATGCACTTTTTGTATCTAGCATAATATTTACAAAAGTGCCACCGTGATTATTTATATTAGCTTGTATTGAGCGAAGTCCAAATGTGCACTAGAATGGCTCTATTGTATATCACATTGGATTATTATGTATCACATTGAATTAAATGTTAGTGTTCCCACGTTAACCATCATTTTCATTGGAATCGCACTACATATATTTATATTAAGAGATTAAAAGTATATGCAAATACGATAAATTAAATCTACATGGGGGCACCCGTGGGAACCCATGGGGAACAATGGGGTGGGGCGGGGATGGGGCGGGGATGGGAGTAACGGGGGATGAGGCGGGGATGGGGGGAACTTTTTAGACATGGGGCGGGGGATGGAGGAGTGTACCCCCGCCCCAAACCCGCCCCATTGCCATCCCTAATTTTACCAAAGTTATCTCCAAAATAAAACATTACCTGGCCAGAATAGATCAGCCCCATCATGGCCCATGAAGTTTGTACCAAATTTGAATGATTTCCTTCAAGTTGTCGATATACCTGTTTTAAAAAGAAAGTAATTATTATCTTATTTTTGAAGCATATTTCTTTAATTTCTGTAAAAAAAAATAGGAAATGGAAAGTGAAGATGTGAGTGTTCACAACTTGATACAAGGATAAAAGGAGTGTTTATTTTTTGTTGTGCTTTATAGAAGTGACCTATTTTTGAAATATTGTCGGAGTTTGAGAATAAATCTTTTTCTAAAAGTAGAAGTTAAAGTGTTTGGAAAAAAATTACATATTGTTATATTATCTCGGTAAAGTATTATAGAAAAGTTGAAAACCTTTTAAACACCCTTTTGGCATCTCTCTTCTTACATCTTGTTTTTTTGAAGTGCTTAAAGTAAAGCCGAAGAAGAAAATTAAAATAATTAGTCTTAGACTTGTTTAAAAGCATAAAATGTATGAGAAAAACAATAGCAAACACTGCGCCATGTTTGCCTGAAGTTAGGATGAAAAGAAAGAGAGTGACTGTGTAATGTGAATTGACCCAAATGTTACCTTTTCGGGACAAGAGCGAAAACTCTCCCCCCAACCACCATCACTCCTCTGCGTACTTAGCAAAAAGTCAACACCTTTACGAACAGCCGCACAATTGTTATATGTTTTTCCTGCTGCTGCTAAGCCCCCGAGGGCAAACCAAGAGCCATATGTGAAACATATGCCCCAATTTCCATACCTAAACTTGACATAATATTATACGTGAAGAAAAAAGTGCACTGCTATTTTCAGCTCCAAGACATTGAAGAATTAATTAACATACCATGAACCGTCAGGTCTTTGCACATTTTCAAGGTACTTTGTAGCATTGGTGATGAAATTTTCTATCTCTTTCGTTCGATGGCCGGGGTACAATTTCTTGAAAAAGACCAGGGCTTGAATTGATGAAGCGGTGCACTCGACATACCTAGATGAAAATTTCAGTTTGTTCCAAAATAATTCTAATATATGCGTGCATATCTAAATTGGAGAATACAAACATATTAATTATAATTACAAATCAATAATTCTTACTCATGCTCAATAACAATGTCAGCGAAAAATTCTGTCGGATTTAGTATCTGTGTATATAAAACGAAAGTAGTCAAAAATAAACATATCACACAATCCACCAAAAAAATTCATTATATCAAAACAAATTGGTTATCCATTACTAAGGTAAAAACAAACACCTCTAACCATTCTGATGCTCCAGCGGGCTCCCATGCAGCCAAACCACCATTTTTACTCTGCCATGTTGTTGAATAAAATAAAATCAAGGATATCCGTGACCAAACCATTGGAAACATATGTAATTTAAATTGCTATTGAAATTTATTGTGAATCAAATTATATTTACCATAAAAACGTATTGGTAGCATGTTGGATTCCTGAATTTAAGTTGAAACACAGTCACACTTCTAGGTCTTGTGGTTATTAGGATTATTATATATTTCGAGCCTCAACATTTAAAACTCACATACGTATTTATAACAAACTACTTATTACATAACTTTGATATTTGTAATAATTTTAATTTATGATCACTTAATTACTTTTGGGTGGATTTATTTGATACTATGTCATGCACTTTAATTTAATTTCAGCATGTATGGCATACTTAATGCACACATTAACATATTTAGCTTCGGCTGACATCTCCCCTATAAAAAATATTGTTGCTTTTGCACGCTTTGCTTTTTTTATTGTTACAATTGTTGGTGGAAATTTTTGCTATTAGTTGTTGCAATGATTTTTTGTTAGTATATTATTTTTGTGTTTATTTAAAAAATATTCAAATTAGTTTTTCAAAATAAATAATGTTCAAATGTTTTTTCTAGGAATATAAAAGACCATTTTTATGTTGTTGTATACAATTCATCCCACTTTCCCTTTTATTTGATCAATTCCAAATTTTGTTGTTTCTTTTTCTCTTCACCCATTTGATACCTTTTAATTCAATAGAAAAAATACAGCCTTGATGTTTTCTCTCATTTATACAAATAAGTCTCAAAAGTTTTTCATGAAGGTATACACTCTTAAAGTCTAAAAAAGATTCTTCAAATGCAACTCTATGTTAACAACTGTGCATGGTATGAATATGACTTATTTGTAAATTAATTTTAAACTTCACGTGTGCCTCAACACATTTGTCAAACACTAAGACTGTATTTGCACTCCCTTTAATGTTGGAATGGACTATTGAGAATGTATTTGTAATTTTAAACTTGGAGTATATAGAGGGTTAATTTGACCATTTATTTCCAATTTTGAAAATAAAATGTAGTAACTATGTACAATTCACATTTCGATCCTTACCTGTAATGAAAGTAGTATATTAACTGCATCAAAAAAACGTTCACGTTCCAAATGCTTGCCAAAAAGTTCAGGGCACATTGTAGAGAAGATAAGGCAACACTGCAAATATATTTGTAATTGTGGAAGATTAGAATTGGTTTATAGTAGATGGATCTTATGCAGATAATAATACAAATAGATACCCTTAGCCCTTCAGCAGTGCAATCTGAAACTTGCCATCCATGATCTTGATCTGAAAAGGTCCACGACCCTTTAGAAATGTGCCTATGCATTCTCCTAAAATCACCGGAAGGATTATCCTTGACCTATCAGAAAATTGTACATATTTGGTCATATTTATTGAATATAGAAACTACACCATCAAAATACCTGAAATAGGAGTAAAAAAGTTTAAAAATTCTAAAATAGGACTAATGACATGTTTTTATTCCCAAAATAGGAGTGTTTACTTCCATGTTTGGAAATTACTACCATGTTTAAAGTCTGGAACTGCCAAAACATGGTAGTAATTAGTCCTATTTTGGTAATAAAAAGACGATGGTCCTATTTTGGAATATACCAACATTTTTAGTCTTATTTAGGGTAATTTCCCCCAAAAGAACCAAAATGTCATCTTTATCTGATGAAGCCACATATTTAGGATTTTGAGCCTCATACCTGAGATTTTTTAATGAAATCGTGTCCTTTTCGAAGAGTATCTTCAATTTCATCAGTTAACCCACTTGCTAACAGTGCTTGAATAGCAAAACCAGTATCCCACTGTTGACTGCCAAAGCTCTGGAGTTCAACAACAACCAACAAAGTGGGCCTTGCTTATTGGATTTTATTATGAATTGGCATAAAAAAGAGTTAAGAGAGAAGGATTTATGAATCCACGTCATGGTTATAACCTGCATTTTCATTCCATCTTCAGCGACCCATAAATAATCAGGGATCCTAGCAAGATGTTTTTTGAAATACTCACTGTTTGGATCCTCAACCCAACACGCAAGCATACAGAGAACCTACTTGTACAATTCATGTTAAAAACCCACTTGTAAAGTTCTACATGATTGAGATAATGAAATATTGTATAATGTTACTTAGGTTAATATACAACTACGGTTATGCTTACTTACCTTTTCAACACACCCAATTGTGATGTATCTACTGTTCTCATCTTCATAATGAATGTGTTTCATGGTAACTTCAAGAGCTTTTTGTCTCAACTTGTTAAGAGGCCAACGAGTAAGTAAAGGCTCAGTAAGTATGTAACAACTATCCCAAATCAAGTCTTGTATGAAGGGATGAGGGTAATAGAGATCCTCCTGTAAGAAAAAGTATGTTTCAGCATAATATGAAAAATAAAAAATAATTTGTATGACAAAGTTCACGTGTAAAAGAATAACCTTTGCACATAAATGTCGTATTTTCCTCCAATTGATTTCATTGTATGATTCATCATATAACTCTTCCCTCAACTGTAAAATGAGAGGTGTAATTGGGCCAACGAATTTCTTTCCATATAAATACGACATGGGCATGTAAACCATTCGACAGTAACACCACATCTTCCCTAAATTCGAGAAACAAATTGTTTAGTTGAACTTAAGATTGATACCATGAAACTATCCTTCACATTGCAGACCGTGAATGATTGGAATTTCACTTCTTTTTTCAAACTTGATTTCAAACATATTGCTAATTATTGTTGCAGGTTTAAGCTAGTTTACTACTTTAGAGTTTGGACCACCATTAGTACTAGGCCACAACAATCTAATAAGACATTTCCAAGAGCATATATTTTAATCACCATTATAAAACTTTCTACCTACCTAGATGCATAGGAAGAAAAGAAGGAAGTAGCCAAAATTCAGGAGGCATAGGATTAGTTCCTGTCCATTCAAATACTCCAAGTATCTAAAGATATAATAGAGAAGTGTCAGCAAGAGATTGAAAAAACTAATGAAATGTCATTAAGTAGTTTAAAAAATATCAATGTAGTCCTACCGAGAGCCAAGTCTTCCCCCAAGAAGGGATGGATTTAACGCTTCCATGATCAAGAATCCATTTTCTTGCCCTACAACATGCATTGTTCTCACCACCATCTGGCCCCTCTCCAAGAATGCGCATACAAATGTAGCTCAAGGAAGTGCAGAACATAGTGCTATGGCCTTCTATGTGAAGCCCCCACCCACCATCTTCATTCTACATCATTCAAAATGTTTTTCTCGGTGTAAATGCACTTATAATAATAAATGCACTTATAAGAGGAAGCGGTTTAGCCTAGCTGGTCGCCGACTCACTCACCCTTACAGGGAGTCTCGGGTTTGTAACTCAATTACTCCAGGCCCCACCCCCTCCCTAGACGCCCCTGGAGTAAAAAAAATGCTAAATTATAGAAGAGAAAATTTAGTTTCTAGAATGAAATTTATGCATACCTGGTGACAGTATATGTATCGAAGAATCTCTTTACGATGTTCTGATGAGAAAACCGTATTCAGGTGGCCGGTGATGTACATACACATGACCTTAAAGTTTTTGTCAAAAGGAGGGTAAATGATGAGCATGAGCATTTCATCAAACACTTGAAAAGCAGGGAAGCAACAAACTAACCAATGGTGGAAGAAAGAACAAGGGACCAGCATTTTCAGCAGGCCAGTGACCATCAGTTGCTTGCAGGGCAGAGAAAAAATGAACTGCTCTTCTCAATGCAGCAGTTGTAGTTTCATGGGTGATTTCTTCTCCATCTTCCACCTTCACGAGTGGGATTGTCTGCTTGAAATTCTTCTCTCTAAGAAACTGTAAATTATAAACAATAAATTTAGACCAAATTTAAAGGCCATGTCAATGGAATATGAAATCATTTCTGGAGGACCATTAATAATTAATACTCCCTCCGTCCGTTAAAACTTTGCCATCTTTGAATTTTTGGGTCAACCATGTTCAAGTTTGACCGACTATATATTTTTATGGGAAATTATTTATAAAATAAGAATGATATGAAAATGTTTTTTTGTTAAAAGTACTTTCATAAATGTATAAAATTTATAACTTCCAAAATATTATACTAATCAAATTCATGGTCCAAACTTTACCACCATTGACTTGAAAAGTCAAAGATGACAAAGTTTTAAGGAACGGAAGTAGTACTATTATACTACCCCCGTTCTTTTTTAATTGCAATACTTTGACTTTCACGTTTGCGAATGCACAATTTTGACTGTAATTATGTTTAATTATATATTAATAAACATTATCAAAGTTTAATATTTTGTAAGTTCACATTAAGAGAAATTTAATTTTTTTTAAATATTATAATATGATAATATATATTAGTAGAAAATCATGGTCAAAGTAAGATGTGTGAATAGTGTAAAATTCAAAGTGTTGCAACTATTAAAGAATGGAAGAAGTAAAATAACAGGAATTCAATGATTTCATCTCAACAAAGGTGATGCTCTATTCCAATTTTATGTTCCAGATCATCTTATATTTTATACGCTTTGAAATAATAGAACAATCACCTAAATTTTAAAATTACTTACATTTTTAATGTAAAAGTTTATGTGTAAAAATTTATCTGTAAAAATTCTTTGTACCGGTCCAGCCCAACTCTAACCCGTGGCTACGCCCCTGAGTCCACCTTGTTGCCCAAAAGAAGCCAAGAAGGTTGAATCTAACGTACGCATATATCTATTGTTAGCATATACATGAAAATAATGTAGGTGTACTGTAGTGTATTGATACTTTAATGTTTTTAACTCAGTCGTATATATCTAAAACTAGTACTTAGTATTAAGTCGTATTTCGTTCGAGTAATATGTTTGAATATTCCAAACATTAGCCCTCATAAGAGACAAATTAATGCCATGTCAATGATATTGCCTTATTAATTTCACTTAATGCCAAAATATGACAATACAATTTCAAAGTTGCAATAATTTATTGATTTTATTCCTATTTTATGATAATATATAGCACCCCTATTTTCGAATAGACATTGCTTTTACTCCTATAGTCCTATTTAAACAAATTTCTCAATACTACAAAAACAATTGTATATAAAATATAACGATTAAAATACAACTAAAAAATGGTAGATGAAATGATATTTTTAGTGCACAGTGATCATAGTAATAATTGTAATAAGCATGACTATGTTCAATTTAAAACTCTCATCATCATGCCGGCGTAAACATAATAAATAGGCCAAAGGGTCAAATATGCCTCTGTTCCGGTGGTATAAGTTCAATTCAGTCCCTGAACTAAAAAAGTTCAATTCACACCTCACAAAAAATGGTTCAAACTTTATTTTTTACGGGTAAACAACCGGTCATTTTTTTTTAAATTTTAATTGTTTCTGTTTTTTGTTTTTTATTTATTACAATTTTGACACTTTTTAATAGTTTAGGAGTTCGAATTGGGCCTTCTTTAATATATCAGTTGTTTAATCTTAAAAAAATGAAATTTGAACTCTTTTTTGTCGGTTCGGAGTGTGAATTGGTCCTTTTTTATTAGGAACTGAATTGAGCTTACACGGCCGATATAGGGGCTTATTTGACCCTTTAGCCTAATAAATATTGTCAATTTGTTCTCCGACATACTAGTAATTAATCTTTTCTAAATATTTTAGGAAAATTTGTATATAACACTAAAATAAATATTAAATATGTTGATTAACGTATGTATCCTTGTAATATCTACTTGTGAGACAACTATAATTTGTTTTTGTTTTTTTAGTTTTTGTGTTCAATTTTATTTCGTTTGTAACATTCATCCATTAAGTAAACATAAATAGATATTCCCAATTTAAGAAATCCATACTAACTAGTTGGAACATATTGTTTTGTTGATGACAAACGACTAGTGTTACTTTTGGTCTATAAGTGATTGCAGAAAAGGAAGTTAAGTCATGCTTTGGAACCAGCGTAGACCTGGACAAAGGACATATATGTCTTATTGTTTTATTGATGACTAACCATGCAGGTGGAACAGCGGACAGAACTATTCTATGTTCTTACAGATTTGTGCTTAGCGTGTGGCATTTACATGGTATACGTAGATTGGCTTGCATGCATAATGTAATTTG